TACCCCGCCCCATAACTGAGGTACGGATATGAGGAAAAGGTCCAAGTGGGTGGAAGAATTTTTGACCCTCTTTCAAGCTTATTTTCTCAGAATTGGTTCTAAAACTGGACATAAATTTTATTACTATAGAAATTGTAATTGGAGCAAAGAAGGAAGCAGGGGACTTTAGGAAGACAACATTATGGCAATTCAAGTTTTTGATGAAATTTTCTTGCTTTCCTTATTTTCATATCTTGGCTTTAAATCAACCCAAAGACATTACATTTGTTCCAAATAATCTATATATGGGGTATGGGAATTTATGTCAATTTTTTTTTACAAAGTTTTGCTATAGTCCAGGTTAGTAGTGCGATTTTATACTATTTCATATGGTTGTCTAATAATCCAAATTCAGAAGGGGGAATATCTTTGAGGTGAAGGCTCACTTTGTGTTTGCCAAAATGTTTAAAAGATTTGTGCAGCGGGGCAGGGAAAAGCACAATGGATTGAGAAGTAAGCTTCAAATTCCTTTTCCCCTTTCAAATCCAGATTGTTGTACAGCTTCAAGAGAGGTAATTGAAGATTTGAAATCTTCATTTTTCGGCCTGTTTTTCCAGGCTGTTTTTTGGGCCGTTTTCGGCCGTTTTTTGGGCCGTTTTGGAGGTTCAGTAGTAGTAAATAAATAGAGAGGGAAATTGTACCTTCTTGAGGCTTTTGACTCAATTACCCTCTCTATTTATTTACTACTACTGAACATCCAGAACGGGCCAAAAAATGGGCCAAAAACATCCGAAAAAGGGCTGAAAAAGGGCCTGAGAAAGGGCCTGAAAAACCAGCGGGGCCAGTTCGCCAAACTGGGCAGAATTTTAACAACTGGTTCACCCGAACCAGTCTGAACTGGCTGAATCCCACCTCTGGGTTATTATTAAAGAAAAAATAAAATCATCTATAACTATTATTTGTGTTAATGGTATTTCTGCAGTACATTTACAGCATGCCTCATCACTGAAGTAAAGGAACCAAAAACATATTTGATACAATAGTTTCATGACTTTGGATCAATGTAAGAACTTCCTGTCTTTAAGAATAGTCTTACAAATATCAGCACCTAGCCATCCTTGTTGGGGTTTAAGCAGGATCCAAATTACCTAGAGGTTAACTCCCATGGGGGATTCAATATTTTTCCCAAGTGATTCCTGAAAGATGTTTGGTACTGAAATTGTTTTGATTTTAAAAGGTTTCCAAAAACAAGGTACTTAGCAGCATTCACTTGTGATTCTTTGTAATTTCATCCCTCGATTTAAAAGAAAATAGTACATAAATAATTAGCCTCTTGAATGTGTTACTTAACTTTAGATTCATTGAGATTATTTTTAGACAAACCTTGCTTGATAAACTATTAATGGCTCTCCAGCTTTTTCTTTGGATCTTGTTGAGATTGCTAATCAAATCCAAGATAGGTTTTCGCTTTCCCCAGATCCACCTTGTCTGGGAAACATCTGCACTTTACTTACTCATTTGAGATATTCTCTTGAGAAATCTGTCATAGAATCTTTTAATACTTTTTTTGCCCTGTCTATGCTGTATATAATCTCTAGCATGTGTTAAAGCCAATTACATGTTTTTTTAAAAATACATCTATCTTGGTGTGAATAAGGAACAGAAGACCTTAGATTATTTTTGTCAAGCTTTACAGGACACACTCCCATTGCATCAGTACTGTGGGTGCGCTATATTCCCATGGCAACAGTTTCTTGCTCCTCTTTTGGCTCTTCATTGTTTAAGTGAAGGTGAAAGATAATCAAGCTGAATTTCTTCTTGGCTAATTGGTAGAAAAAGAAAAAAAATCTGAAATGGTATTGTACTATGACAGATTTCTTTCTAAAACATGTCGGGTTCTGATCAACATAAGTGTTTAATGTTGTCAGCAACTTAATGTGTAAGCTACTTGGTCGTGGGAGTGGATGCTGTAGTTGTTTGTTCTATGGAGGTGGCTTGCAGGTCTGGCAGACAACACAGAAAAGTGAAACAGGCCAGAGAGAAGCAGTTATCAAACTGGAGCCATAGAAGAATGGGTCCAGAAGAGAGCAGCAAAGATTAAGAGCCTGAGAGTAAATCTTTGGGAAGTGTTGTTGAGTATGTTTAGCCTGTGGGGATACATAATAGCTTGTCTTCAAGTATCTGAAGTGCTGTCATGTGCAGAAGTGTTCAGAGTTGTTTCAGAAGACAGAGTAAGAAACAATGGCTTTAAATTACAAGGCAGTAGATATTGTTGAAAATCAGAAAATATTCCTATTCGACAAAGGAGCAAATTGCTTTAGGAGTAGCAGTTTGTCCTTCAGCAGAAGTGTTTAAACAGAATTTGAAAGCCATCTGGTGTAGATGTCATGATGGAGATTCTTGCACTGGACAAGGTGTTGGATTTGATGACCTCCAGAGGACTTTCCCACTCTTGCTTTCTTTGATTCTATGAATCACAGCAAGATGTGCAAGACGGAATGGTCACAGGCTAAATTAAAGGAATTCTCTTTCATCTGGCATACGTGTACTGATTTCTATTGGTTTTTTTTAAAAAGCTTATTTTTATTTCCTGGATGGTACTTGAAAACATAGTTGAGAATTTCTATGTAATCCATAGAAATCATAAGAGAAGTACATTCCAATTCTCCAATGCAAAACTCTGTTGGTGATCTTAATGCAGTCGTTCTCTCTCAACCTTAGAGCTAATTTGGATTTCTGGGTTATGTTTGTCATTTAACAGAGCATATCGAAGGTTCAGTAGGATCATGCTTTCTTGCTTTTGTTATGTGCACTCATAACAACACCAATCATCTCCAAAGCAATTTGCTCGTGATTTGCCTTGTTCATACTAAGGCAAACTTTTTTTCTTTTCCCAGATAGATGATGTATTTTAGAGCATTAAAAAAATCAGTTAGGGTTTGCTTGAAAAAAAGGGTACTGAATAAAATAATTCTCATTTAGTGACCACAGTTATAACCAGCAACTTGGTTGCTAAGTGAAGCAATTGCTAAGTGTAATTATGATTGTGTTTATAATCTTAAATTCAACTTTCCTTTGCTTTAAAGTAGTTATCATCTTAAAATCATTCTTCAGTGACCATTCAAAGTTAACAACAGCACTGAAAAAAAAATCTACAACTGGTCCTTGCACTTATAACAATCACAGCATCCCCACCATCACATAATCAGAACTGAGGCAACTTAACAACTGGCATGTATTTACAACATTTGAGGTGTCCTGGGGTCATTTGACCACCATTTACCAACCTTCCCAGCCAGTTTCTGATAAGCCAAAGTGAATGGGGGAAATTGGATTTACTTAATTCTGGTCCCTGTTGTGGCTGTAAGTTGAGAACTACCTGTATAGACCTTTTAAGTTTGTTACTGCAAGAATTGGTTGTAAAGTTATTTTTTCATTACTGTCATAACTGCAAACACTTGCTAAACAAGGCAGTTGCTAAATGAGGACTGGCTATACCTGGACTGATCAGCAAGATGCTGTGGAAAAAGCTGAGGCTGCAGCAACTCATTTGTTTTGAGTGGAAATTAATTCAATGAAGATAGTATTAAGGAATAATATGAAAAGATTGTTAACATAATTAGGGGGTTAGACTAGTTGATATCTAAGATATGTTCCAACTCGGTGACTTTATGAAAATAGACTTTAGATGATGCATGTGACTTAATCCAGCATTAATTATGGACATCTGTATTAATTCTAGATGGTCTATATCAAACCCTCTGACAAGAATTGAACTCATAGACCCCAAACCCCACTCCAGAGGTGGTGGAAATTATGTAAAAACTTAAATGCAGGGGCATAATATAATGCAACACATGTATTTACCTGAGATCTTAAGTAAATTTGGATTGTGTGTGTGTATGTATGCATATACATATACATATACACAATTATACATACATATATACACATACATACACACACATCCAAATTGTGTACACACACATATACACACCATTCTGATAGATTCTGTATATCTCTTCCTGCCACACTGTTAAGCACCAGGGCCTGGATAGCTCCTACAGCTAATGCACTGCATATGGTAATCTAAAGTTCAGTAGTCTGTAAGTTCAGTTCCCAGTAGAGGGAATTATAAATTATAAAATTGCATCTTAACTATTAAACTTGTATGGTAGATCTGTGTGTTTGAGAACAAATGTATATTTGTGTCCTTATTACTCACTTAGCATGTATAAACTACATTCTAAATTCTTCTGGAGGACTAAGAAAGTAGGGTCAGTGAAGTCAGTTGATTCTACTGATACTATCCTCCTAAATGAAATGGCAGAAGAACAAGGCCTTGCTTGTAGGATGTGGCTAAGCCTTACTGCAATTTGCCAACAATGTCTATTTTTTTCCTTAACACGCACATACATACACATTCTTCTGAGAATAAAATAATTGTCTATTGTGACGTGCTTTAGTCTGAATCTAGCTTGCTCCACCACTAAAAGACTTTTCCCCTATTTCTCTGTCTTCTATTTTGCTCAAAAAATGTTTTGTATACATTTTAGCCAGAATTTCAGTAAGGCTCCTCACTCAGTCTATAATATTTTTAATCACCTTTGCTTCCCTTTTTATATATGAGGGTTATAATGGTGATTTCTTATCTGACTGGGATGCAACCTGTTTTATTTATATGAGACAACAGCTCTGCTAATAATGGGACCCACCAATCAATGTGTGTCTTGAAGATATCAGGCAATAAAAAAAATCTTCTCCAGGTGCCTTATTAAATTTCAGAGATTGAATAATAAATTTGATTTCTGAATGACAAATTATCATGTGTATTTGTGTTTATGAATCCTTTCTCATCCATTCAGATTGAAAAATGAACAATATTTTGTAAGTGTATATATTGGCAGTAATTTCAGTTGTAAAGAGAATCCGTATATATCTGGAAGAATCATGACCCTTTTAAACTCATTTCCTAATATTTAAGAGCTATTCTTAGCTGCTTCTCTTTTTTCCCCCTCCAGATCAGTGCACTGTTACTCGGACATATCTGTTTCTACACAAATTTTGGTTCTTCAGTGCTGTATATTACTTTGGCAATTGGGCTTTTATTGGAGTAAGTAATCTTATTTAAAGATGATTATAAATACAATTTAATGTTCTAGGATAACTATACTTACAGTATGTGCATCGGGGCAACATTGCCTTGTATATAAATCTGTTGCATCCTTCATCTAACCTCCAGTAATACAGTGTGTTGATGTAAATTCACAGGTTTTCTTGATTGGATTAATTGTGTCATGCTGCAAAGGAAAAAAATCAGTCATTGAAGGTGAAGTGGATGAAGATGATTCAGATATAAGTGATGATGAGCCATCGCTCTATTATGGCTGACAGCCTGCAGTCCTGAAGGTTAAAGCTTGCAATGTAAAACTGTGAAAATGCCACTTTTGGTTCTGACTTTATTCTTGGAAAAGTTCACTTTTGCCAATATCGAAGGGAGAAGTAATATAAACCAGGATTTGGAATTTCTGCAAATCTGACTGGCTTATAGTTAAATTCATTTGTACATAGGCACAAGAGCTAATTTTATGAAGGAAAAATTAAAGAGAACTATTTTTTGAGTATATAGCTACGAAGTTGTGATGTCATTTAAATGCCATTTAAGTTTGTTTTTGTTAGTCTTGAATTTTAAATTTATTAATGATTTTTGTTTCTTTAGACTTGACAAATCATAATAAACTGACAAATGTATCATACATCTCATGGAAATCAAAAGTTACCAGTGCTTGTTAATATGAAACTAATACCTAAATCACACCTGTTGGTATATGAAGTGATACTTAAAGACAATAGAACTATTGTCTGGTCATTAGAGAGAATCCCTGCCATATCAAATGTGAATGCAGTATGATATTCAATAGTTGCAGATGGGATGCGACTATTATATTCAGTAAAATAGTGGAAGAAATATGTATTCCATTCTCAAGTATTGTTTATTCAGTTTAGTATCTGCCCACATATACTATTTTCAACCCAATTGGATAGAGAGCAATAGATCTGGGCAGATCAACAATATAGAATATGCCATGAACTTTCTAATTCAAAATAACAATGTAAAGAAAGATACTTTTTTCCATATTTTCATACAATTTGTGAGCTTTAATTTCTTCATGGTTTAAACTAAATCCAATATGTACACTTTTAAAAGACATTAAATATTAATCACCTTGCTTGGTTACGGTTTGCTGTTCACTGTCTTGACATAATACAAATATGCTGAACCCTGTTTTAAACACTGAAACAACTATTCAGTATAATTTTGCTTAATTATAATTGATGAAGGGCACAAATGTTTAAAAATCATGCTATTTTGTTTCTTATTTTGTAAAATAAATTAATCAGGATCCTAAATGCATACTATTCTGAAGTATTCTTGTAACTCAAAATCTATTATTTAATCTTAGTCTTTACTGTTCTTAGATTTCTCATACCTTATAATTACATATAAAGAAAACGAGTTTTTGAGTGTATTTTCTGCAGCAACTTCATTGCACCTTCAAAATATAATATGGAATAATATTTTAGACTTATTATTATTTTTTGATGTTTAAGCTAGCGTTTCTTGCAGGGTTTCCCATGACAGAAATCATGAGAGAAATTATGTCAAAAGAGAGACAAAAAAGGCTTGGTTTAACATGTTTGCTGGAAAAGGCAGGGGGAAGAAAAGAGAAGAATCCTTTTGCTTATGATTTCTTTCTTAAGGAGTTTTCTCCCCCCAGAGGTATACCCAAACATTGTTTTTGTTCCCAACTTCAGAACATAAGAGTCCCCTTCAAAATAGCAAGAAGGACAAAATAACGTCTTGACTTCACAATTTAATGTAACCTGTGATGTAATGCCTCCCCCCCAACATGCACAGTGTACAAATACACACATACGCACACCAAAACTCAGCAAAACAGCTCAGACTATCAGCATAATGCTAGTAATGGCCTTTGCATTTACAGCTGACAAACTCAGCGGTTAAAAATGTTGAGCTTGTCAGCTGGAAAGCTGACAGCCCGGGTTCGAGACCCAAGTGGTGCGCAATGAGGTGAACTCCCATTCCTTCTCCAGCTCCTGCCCACCTAGCAGTTTGAAAGCATACAAATGAGAGTAGATAAGCCTGGTGCCACTTTGGTGGGAAGGTAACAGCATTCCATGAGCCTTGGGTTATAGTCAGTTGACCAAATGACCACAGAAATGTCTTTGGACAACATTGGCTTTCTCGGCCAAGAAACGGAAATGAGCACTGCCCCAGTTGGACACAACTGGACAGGAGAAACCTTTATCTTTATTAAAACTTAGAATCTCAGCTCACATTGACAACTTCAGTACATGCAGCAGGATAGTCCATGAATACTCTTGCATACTACTTTACGTTTATTGGCCTTATATATTCTTAATTTGCCCTTTTCAGGCAACCTCCCTTTAAAAAGGAGCACGATATAAAATACTTGTCCAGGTCCAGAGCCAAATGAAATAGATTCAGTAAAAACCTAGACAAAAAAAGGCTTCTGTTTCATGACCTTAAAGACAAAAGGAAGCAGCTGATGCATGGCTAATGGCATTTACCTAAAACTGGTTCAATTCCATATAAGACAGAAAGATCAGAACTCTGTCTCTGCGATTGCTCCCTGGAATTTACTCAATGCATTTAAAGAATCTTAATTTGAATCTCTAGGTTTAAGATGACGAATGTATCTTTTATGTACACTGAAAGCGGACAAATTCCTTGTGTGTCCAATCACACTTGGCCAATAAAGAATTCAATTCTGTTCTGTTCTGTTCTGTACTGTACTGTTCTATTCTATTTTCTATTCTATTCTATTCTATTCTATTCTATTCTATTCTATTCTATTCTATTCTAAGATGACTTCGATGTTTAGAATGAAACACCTAAGATTTCTCAAACTACTAAGCATGTTATGGCCATCAAAGCCATTCCAGTTCTGAAATCCAGCTAGATCAAGAGTTAATTCAATTTTATTTTCAGGCTCTGAATTTAAAACAGGTTAAAAACATTCCCTTGCACATAATTTTCAAATCTATAGGGGCAGGCACCCAGAAATGGGATATTCTAGTTTTTATTAATTTATTAGAGGATACTGCAACTGCCATAGGTTGGAGAACAGATTATAGATCTACTGTTTCAGCACCATCGTAAGTTTGAACTGCCATTGAATGAAGCAATCGGTAACTGAGGACTACCTGAGTCTATATCTGTAGGAAACAACAGCAAAAATTTTGCTTCCATCAGTTATGTATACAGGACCCTCTCCTTCAGTTCGGCATCATCTTGGATAGTTGCAGAAGTGCTGATAAATCTGATTACATATCTTTCAAAAATAAGACGTACTTTTGACTACTTGAACTCAGAATGCACTTTCTCTTAGCACTGATGATATTATATAGTTGGTTAATGAAACGTCTGCAAGAAAACTATCAAGCTTCGAGAGCACCAAGGACCCGACAGTTCAACCTTGAGCTACAAATATTCTCTTCTATTGGCACTTTGCCCTCTCCTGGATGTGATAGTTTTTCTCTAGTCATGCACTACTCTTGGGATCAGTGTCACTTTTTATGGGACTTTTTAGAACTGTCACACCCACTTCTTCCAAAGGTGCCATTTCTGTGCTTGGCATTTTTACAGTTGATCCTGACCCCCATGTTAATCAATTGGAAGTTTCAAAGTGCCCCCAGTCCATTACCTTTTTTCGGAGGTCACTTTTAATGTACATTTAGTTGTCCTCTGATGCTGTGTATGTCTTGAAATTCTTTGTTCCGTGACAGTTTGAGGAATAAACTAAAGCCAGAACTTATAAACTTAACACTTAATGTCCTTGGAATTTCAAAGGGCAGAAAGTTCAGACTGGGTAATTATTCCTTAACTAGTAGCTTGGCTCCTATCTAAAGCAGATGAGCCAGGACTGTCATAGTAGCAATTTATATTTTAGACAGAGAAAGAATAAGTAATTCTCAAATAACTCTTTGACCTCTTAAAGTTGGGTTGTAAAATTAGCCATGCAGAGTTATACCTGTCACAACTTCTCCCATGCAGTTATTTAAAATTCCCGAATCTCAGAGGAAGATCAAGCATAATAACTAAAGAAAAGCAGATTCCAGATTAAAAGTTGATTAAAACTTGTTCTTTTCTGTGCAGGTACTGAACAAATAGCTAGAGAATTGGTGATTCCAGGCTGCAGCGTTCTTTTTTTTTTTCATTTATTTGAACTTTTTAGTGCCGCACCCTCCCAAACCAGATCTTTGAAAAGTACAAAATGCCTTTCTGGCCACCGCATCAGTGCCTTAACCATTCAAGAAACAAATGGAAATGATTTCATCATTTGCTCTGATTGAACATTTTTAAATCAAGACAGAATTTTTGTCAGTCTGATCCTGTCTTATAAGAAAATAGATGATCTAATTGGGAAAAATCAATTAGTATGGAGCTGGTATAGAGATATACAGCCAGTTTAGTGTAGTGGTTAAAGGCAGCAGGTTGTACACCAGGAGATCATAGGTTCTAATCCTGCCCTAGGCACAAAGCCAGCTGGGTGACTTGGGCCAATCGCCCTCTTTCAGCCCTATGAAGAATGCAATGGCAAGAAATCAGAATTCAGCAAGAATTCAGATATCTTGCCAAGAAAGCTGCAGAGATTAATCCAGATAGCTGCCAGGAGTCCTTACTGACTGGAAGCATGCATGCAAGCACACACACACACACACACTTTATTCAGCTTGCCATTTTTAACAAACTTCTCTGCAGATGTGACAGTCAGGACCTCTCTTGACAGGAACAAACAGCCTGAAAAACCGGTAACTTGCTTAGCTCCTAAGAGTAACATGCTGACATAATATGCAAGGCTTTCTTGATAATATTTGCATGCTCAGTAAAAATGTCACAAAAAATAGCCTGGATGTTTTGAAGACTTTATGTGTAAAGTGACTTTTTGAACTACTTTGTCCTCATAAGCAAAGCTTGCTATCTGGAGTAAGGAGATATAAAGTTAGCATTAGCTTACAATAGAGCAACTAAGCATGGTGTGCCTCTTGCACAAAGACTATTTATAAATGTATAACTATTGTATGCTTCTATCGAGCATCCTTAATTTTAAGAAGCAGCCATTAGTACAAGAACAACTCTGATTTCTTTAAAAACATTGGAAGAGAATTAAAACAGATTAACAGAGTTGAAAGGGACTTTATAGGTCATCTAATCCACCACCACCACTCCCGCCCAAGCAGGAGACCCGACACCATTTCTGACAAATGACAGTCCAATCTCTTCTTGGAAGCCTCCAGTTATGGAGGCACCAATAACTTCCGAAGGCAAGCTGTTCCATTGGTTGATTGTTCTCACTGTCAGAAAATTTCTCCTTATATCTAGGTTGAATCTCTCCTTGATCAGTTTCCATCCATTATTCCTTGTCTGGCCTTCGGGTGCCTTGGAAAATAGCTTTACCCCTTCCTCTCTGTGGCAGCCCCTCAAATATTGGAACAAATAACTGTTGAATTATTATCAGCTCTCATAGCTACTATTAGGAAAAGAAAAACCAATGACCTTTTGAATATAAATGATGAATAACAGGAAACAAACGGGGAGGGACCTTGGTTTCATCAATTCAGAACCTTGGTAGTACAGTGGTTTAAGGCACCCTGTTATTAAGCTGGGTATTAAGACCAGCTGCCTGCAATTACTGCAGGTTCGAATCTCGCCAAGGCTCAAGGTTGACTCAGCCTTCCATCCTTTCTAAGGTAGGTGAAATGAGGACCCAGTTTGTGGGGGCAATAAGCTGACTTTGTATAAATATACAAAAGGATGAAGGCTTAGCGCATTGTAAGCCGCCCTGAGTCTCCAGAGAAGGGCGGCATATAAATCAAATTTTAAAAAAAAATTATTATGGCACAAAATCATTAATGGGACTCTTCTAATGTAGAGCAGGCATTTTGGAAGAGTTATTCAGGTAAAAACAGTGAGATTTGTCTTTCTACATTCACCAGCATACATTTTCAAGTTGCTCAAAGTCCCAAAGGTACTTTTTTTCAAGAGGCAACTGGACTTTCTGGTTTTTCTTTTTCTTTCAAAGAAAGTTGCCTCTTGAAAAAAAGCACCTTTGGGACAACTATGACCTGGTTGTCCTACTATCGCAGCACCATTGAGAGTGTCCTGACATACAGCATTCTTGCATGGTATGGGAGCAGCTCTGTAGCAGACAAAAAGGTTCTACAGAGAATCATTAAAACTGCCCAGAATATCATTGGGCTCCAGCTGCCAGCCCATCTTTGAATCTCGCTGTTTGAGGAAGTTGCACAACATTCTCAGAGACTCTTCCCATCCTGCTTACAATCTTTTTGGATTGTTGCCTTCTGGCAAAAGATACAGAACAATTAAAACTCGGATCACACGTTTTCTGAATAGTTTTTATCCCAGAGCTATAATTGCACTCAACAATGAACTAAAGGGCCACCATCAGTAAGCTGTTGGACAGCATTGCTTGGTCTGCTGTGTGGATGCTTGGGTGGTTTAGGGGTGGGGAATTTGTGGTGGGCAGGGGGGTGTTTGGGGATTGTTATGTGTGTTGGACCTGGTCTTTGGGTGTTAAGTGAATTTCATTGTATGGGTATACTGTGTATATACGTACAATGACAATAAAGTTATTATTATGACTGAGAATCTCCATAGACAAGTTGCTCAAATAAAATGTATTTTAGGTAGTGAATGTTTTAGAATGCTGATGAAGAACTGGGTGGATTCAAAGCTATGCAGATGAGTGGGATATTGCCAGTCTCTTATTCCTCAAATAAAATGCTCTGAAGAGAAGGGAGACATCTCCTGTGGAAGGATGTGTTGGGAAACATAGGTGAAACCTCATGCCCCTTCCATTTGGGAAAGTCTTCTCAGACTTTTCCTGTAACTAAAAAAGGTGCTTTGGTTTACTGATCAGGAATGCCTTTTAACCCAACCCATAATCCCTGGGTGTTAGGAAAGAGCTACTGTCCTACCACAGCAGCACGGCAACAGGCAAAATAAACCCGATTAAAATATTGGCAGTCATGCAGTCTACTTCACCTGTGCCCTTTACACAAGACAATACTGAGGAGTTAATTTTTACAGTGTTGCTTTATATACATATTTTTAAATTTAATCTTAAATTATTCTGTTTTTAATGCTTAATTTTACTGATTAAATTGTACTCCATCCAGAGCTGCTGTCTGAGGGTGGTGGGCAGTTAAGCAGCATGAAAAATAAAATAATTAAATAAGATAAATAAAATAAACATTTTGGGGCTGTTCATGTTTTGGACCAGCTTGCAAACATCTGTGCACACTTCCTGTGTAAATTAGTTACATGGGTGACATGTTAAATATGAATGACCTGTCTGTTCATCATATTGCTCCTGCATTCTGTGATCCTTGGAGTGAAAGTGTTTGAGTTCAAATCACTATAGAAAACTGAGAGGAACAAGAAGTGACAAGGAAAGCATCAAAGTGGAATCCATTTTTAAAATAATGTGGGCAGCTGCCTTCTGCAGAATGCTGAAGTTCCTGATTTGAAACCAGAAGTAAGCCTGACATGTCAGCTGTTTCAACTCAAGACATAGATAAGGGTACTTAAATCTTGAAGAAAAATGTGGCCTTCCACATACAGCGTTCTGAGAAAGGCCTAAATATATTTCACAAATATTCATCACTTTCCTTGTCTGGGTTTCAATATCTGTTGCTTTTGATCTCATATGATCATTGTCAACCATGTGATAAATGAGTTGGATTGTAA